TCGCACGGTCCAAACAAACAGCGAGCAACTGAGCTACTAGTATATGTCCGTGTTAAAACACACGAAAGGACTCTAAAGCACACTTCACTCTGATTGGGCAGAAAAACACAAAGATTTTCTGGTAGCAATCAGATGGCAGAACGACTGCAACCATATGGAACTAGTCTTGTAAGACAATGTCCCCAGGGGCTCTTCATGCCCTAACTTGAAATCGACCCACTGCCCCTGGGTCTCCGAGGATGGGTTTCCTTAAGAGGAATGTTGGTGCAGGGTACAAGGAAGTCTTTTCTCATCTGTACAAGGCCTTGGTTATACCCATTCTAGAATATGCTGCCCCTCTCTGGTCACTATATTTACAAAAGAACACTGATGCTCTTGAACGAGTACAATGTAGGGCCTCGAAATATGCTCTGCCAATGTCATCTAGGGACTCGCCGTACGAAGAAAGACTGGGAATGCCTGGGTGGTCCAGTCTTCAGTCAAGGAGATCTTATCTATCCTTGCTAGAGTGTTACAAGACTATTCATGGTCTTAATGGCCTCAATTGTTATGATTATTTTTAATTTAATAGTTATGTAGTATATACATTTTATATTTTAAGTAGGGAGCGTCCTCGATAGGGATAACCTCTGACACTTCTTTTTTATGTGTGCACATAATGAATTGATTAATTAATAAATCTTCAACATTGTGGAAAGAAGGTTGCTCCGTTATTACATGTCTGCGGTATTCTCCATTGCACGTGACTGAGCTTTGAGGAGAAATACGAGGGTAAACCTTTAGTTGGTTGCCCAACTAATTAAGAGGGAATTGTATTGTAAGATATTTTACAGGATGAAGACATTAAGTTCTCTTATTCAAAAAACTAGTTACTTTATTAGCTAGTTGTTAAGATGGTTTTGAGGTCACTTGAAACAGTTTAAAATTATTTCTACTTTTTGATTTTGAAGGATGCAAAGTGCAGTAAATTGAGGTTTCAAGTAGGTCTTTACAAGCCACTCATGCATGTACTAATATTTAGAAGATGGCTCCCTACCATTCTAAAGTTGTTGCTCATATAACAAAGTACGCAGCATTTTATCTAGCAGCTGGCTTCGTCTCCAAACCCTGACTTTTCGTTAAGAAGAGAGTGCAAAAATTCAAACAATTCTACAATACATTGTACATACCTCACTTGATGGCTGTGCTATGGTCAAAATGTGTACGACCTTTTGAGGATCCAATTTGGGAAGAATGTACCATAGCAAACGCAGAGTGTGACGCATTACACTTGTGTGAGGTACCAAGGGAAGAAGAAATTGGTCAAACACCGCATCACAAAAATCAAGATGTGTAAACTCTTCTTGCCAAGTAGCTAGTGAGCTGATCAGAGTGTGAAGGGAGACTTCATCCAATGCTCGTTCTTGACATGTGTTGGCAAACCAGGGCAAGATGGCAACAAGGGTGTGTCTGCAGCCACATTGATACAATACACATTATTGGTAAATAATCAAGTTCAATCACAAGAAAAATTAAACCTATTCACCCCATTTATGAAAAACTTTGTCACCGAGTTTTCTTGAAAAATTGATTTGCTCTGTATCAAGTGGAAAAGTAGAAAATCTGAAACTTAGTTTCTTCATACTTCTTCCCCATATTATTGTCAAGAAACAATTAAATAGAAAAGTCCCCCGCACAGTGTTGTAAAGCGCATTAGAGCATTTACATGGAAATGCGCTATAGAAACTGATCTATATTATTATTATTATTATTAAATAGGGCTTCATTAACAGAAAAAAATATTTACAATCTCTTTGTAACATCTTGAGTGAAGGTCCTTAGTTGAAGTTCTATTCTCTCACTTGCTAAACTTGCAAATAATAAACTGGTTTTCATTTTCTAGTTGGGGCTCTAAATCAGACTGTCTTTAATTTTTATAATTTTTAAATGATTATTTGTGTGTGGTGCCTGACCATCAACCAGAATTACACTCTAAACATCTACATAATTTCCAACTATTGCACCCCAAAGATCCTATTACAGTGCAGTATGATTTTATTTATTTATTTAATCAATATTTAAACAGGGACATCACATTTATCATAGCTAGTTTAAAGAGAGCCCTGCAAAACAAAATTTGACAGGGCAGAGTTTACACATGAAATTAACAGATAAAGGTAAAACTCATTGAACAAAATAATACAAAGTCTACTAATTAAATCCAACTAATTAAATCCGCTTACACTCAGTTTTAAAAGTTTCAAGGTTTTCCAGTGATCTTATTGCTTTGGGCAGATTGTTAAAAGTGCACCCACCATTATATCTAAAACTGCCTTGATATTTACTGCTTTTGGCCATAGGAAGACGAATCAAATCCCTATGTCGAGTATTATATGTATGATATTTCTTAGCTTGAGTAAAATCACTTAATAAGTAGGAAGGTGCCATGCCATTCATAGATTTGAAGACCAGCATGCATTTAAGATAGTCTCTACGAGACTGAAGGCTAGGCCAACCAAAAATACGAACAATATCTGTTTCACTCACAGCCCTATTTAAGATGATACTCGCCACATGCCTATTAAGCTTATCAAGGTACCCTTTAGATACAGCCCCACAACTATCCCATACAACTGAGCAATAGTCAAAAAGGGGGAGTATCATTGCATTGTACAAAATGATACAGGATGACTGAGGCAAGATCTTTCATGCTCTACGTAACATTCCTAACCTAGACGAGATCTTCTTTCCCAGGTAATTAACGTGGGACTTTTGGTGATTCATTTTCCTCGAAAACTATTTTTTAATGTGGCAAAGCTTAGTAATGTTCATGAAGATTCTACAAGCAAACTCTGGGATTTCTTACCTGTCTCTTTGATTAATGACATGAAGAAGATAACACCAAGCAAGTGTGAAGGCAACTGAGTTTGATGACGTAATTTCTGCAAAGTAGTCAATGAACTGGACAGGGTCCTCCATATCAGCATTGTCCTCATCAACAGGGAGTTTACTGTGCAAAGAGTGGAGGCTACTATCCACCATCAGAGACATGAGTATTGGAAGAAACTTGTGAATCAACTCTCCACTCTGAAATACATCCCATAGTGAAAATTATTAAGGAAAATTCTACATTTTAAGCCACACAGACATTGCAAGCACACAGAATTCTTTGACATAACTAACCAATCACTATCAGAATTTCCTACAGTTTAACAATTCAAAGATAGTAATGGAAAATTACCTGCGTACTAAGCCATGGAAGCTCTTACACTACTAGGAGCACATAAAACAAACAAAAAAGTACCACAAAAACTTACCAGTGCCACTTCAGTAAAATGCTGATTGCTGATCATCTCCCAGGCACTAACTCCAAGGTTGAACACTCGTAAAAGAAAACTCACATCTGAACTTGTCTGCAATGTTTAATACACTGCTATGAGTTGCGATCATGAAATATTATTGGTGATGGCTTTTCTCATTGTTGTAATAAACAGGTTTAAAATCCACTTTAAAAATACGACAATCAGAGGGATTGCCTGCAGAAAACAGCCATGCAGTTTAAGAAACTGTTATTGTTTGATTGTTTAACTGGAAAATGTTAGTTACATATACATGCATAAACACAAATATTCTTATTTATTACACATAATACGAGAATTTTACTCCATAAAGCTCATTTGTAGAAATCTATACGCTTTATTTTCACATGTGAAAAAAGCCTATACAGCCAATCAGAATGGCTCCAAATTTTTCATGGGAAAATGGAAGGCAGGGGAAAGCTCTAGATTTGTGTCCCTTGGTTGCTCCCTAGATGAGTTTGTACAGAATCAAGAAAACAAGAACACATTAAGCTAAACACAGAGAGATGCCTCGTTGCTCAAAAATTTTTCAGTTTCAAGTCACGAGCTGAGAGAGATTGGAAATATTGATGCAAAAGATCTACACGTGTTAATAGCCAATTTTCTACTTCAAGTTAGAAAGAAAGAAGGAGAACAATATGAACCTACATAGGTCAAGTCTTTTGTTTCAAGCTTTGATCGTTATTTAAGAAAGACTATTCCTCAACCATTATGGATGGAAAGGAGTTCCAAAAGACTAAAGAAGCATTAGTTGCAAAGCAAAAGGAACTCAAGAAAGAAGGCAAAGGAAATAAACCAAATGCTGTCCGTATGCTAACAGACAAAGAAATTGATAATCTGTATGGCCAAGATTTACTCGGTTGCTCTTCATCAGAGGTTCTTATTAACACTATATGGTTAAACAACACACAGTTCTTTGGATTACGAGGTTGTCAAGAGCACAGGGACATGAGATGGGGCGATGTTGAAAGAAAAGAAACAAC